TAAATACATAAAATACATAAAATAAATAAAATAAATAGATTAATTTAAAAAAATAAAATAAAATAAAAAAAACAACTAATAAATAAGAATAAGAAAGACATTCTCACACACATCATCCATGATGATTAATGGTTATTTTTGTTGCATTTAGTTTTGTTATTGCTGTCGGGTAAAAACCCTAAAATGCTCCCGACGGTGAGAACAGACACAGAAATCCTTGTTTTCTGACTTTAAAAAGAAATCACATCGGCTTAAAGTGAGATAAAGCCTCTCAAAGGTGTCCGGTGATATGAATATGGAGACATCTGGAGGAATCTATGAAGTTGGGCCAGAGTTCATGTAAACAAAGAATAACTCAAATGTAAAGATAAGATAAAATATGACAGTCTGTCTTTGACCTTTGGCCTCTGGCAGACGTCATCCAAACCCGCATGACACATTTTTTTAGCTGATCTATTTCAACCGAACAGAAATAAAAGGCCCCTAACTCAAGGGGTGAGCCACCGTTGTGTCCACACAGTTTAAAATGGATCTTTGGCTTTTCCTTTAGCATCCGGCTACTCATTGCCCTGTAAAAACGACCAAATTCAGGACACAAAACGCTTATAGAAGAGTCTGACTACAATCAGGTGACATTATTTAATCGTTTATAAGATTATCAAGCACTTAGGAATCACTCAGGGAAGAAAAAAAGCCCCCTAACTCAAGGGGTGAGCCAGTTTTGTGTCCACACTGAGCAAAAGCAGCAGTTTAAAGTGGATTTTTAGGCTCTTTGTTAGCAGCAGCCTCTCACAGAGACACAGAATTAGTTTAATTTCTTTAGCTGATGGCTGAAAAAGGCAAAAGAAAATATAGTTTGACAGACAGGAAACAGGATTTCTGAGGATTCCCAAAGAGCTGCTGGCTGGAAACTGGGCAGATCTCAGCTGAATTCCTGATGCCCGTTTGATTCAATCCTGTGTTTGATTAGTGAGAAAAATCTATTTCTGACAGTAAAACTTCCTTAAATGTTTATTCTTTGTGTCTTTATCAGCATTTCTTGTGGAAATCACACCAAAAAAAGCCGTAACACCTACATTTTTGTTCCGTTTTTGAGATTTAATGCATGATTTCCTCCTAAGGGGGGTTTAAGAACCCTCTATTTTAACAGAACAGACATTTTTCTGACAGTTCTCGTGTCTTTATCAGCATCTCAAAGCTGTGACACCTACATTTTTGTTGTGTTTTTGAGATTTACCCAGATCTCAGAGGAAACTGGACCAGTGATGGACAGAAGAAGAAGAGCTGGACAAGTGGGAAAAGGGAGAAACTAGGATTTAAAATGTCTTGATCTTGATCTTTTTTTAAACATAAATTCAAATTACAACATTTTTTCTTTAAATATCAGATTTACTTAGACGTATTTCTTGATCTGAGGGATCCCAGAGGAGCCAATCAGAAAGACCTCTCTTCTCTTCTGTGGTCAAACCTGTGGAGCTGCTTTAAGGCCTTAAAATGGTGGCGTTTCCAGATCTGTTTGGTTCTTCTACGAACACTTTATAAGGGGACAGTTGGCCTTTTTGGTTTTTATGCTGAGCTAACAGCAGCTTTCTGCTGACGGCCGGTGTGAGAAAGTCAGCATCTCTGAGGGCCGTCAAACTGAACCCGGCCGCTTCTCCTTTCTGGTTTCCCACTCTGGGGCGGAGTATTTAAACCCTCGGTCCGCCCGATCCCCGTCCTGCTGACAGGAGGAGGTAAGCGGAGCCCCAAAGGTCCGATTTTCTGATGGTTTTCAAATCCTTTTTGATGGTTTTTTGGTCTTTTAGCTCGTTCTCCGTCTAGTTTTGTCTAAAACAGGTAAGCAGACTGATCACAGACCAAGGTACATCTATCTTTGTTACCTTCCTAGCTATATATATATATATATATTTATTTTTTTGTTGTTGTTTTTTTATTTTTTATATATATACATATATCTATATCTAGATATATCTATTTTTTATTATATATATATATATATAATAAAAAATTAAAT